TGATGATCTAAATCCTGCATTTCCCATAATAAGGAATATACCATAAGAATTCCCATAGTTTAAAGTCCTTAAGGTAATGCAAGATTTATAGCATCAACCGCAACACCTACTTTGGGCTCGTTGTAGCCCAAAGAAGGTTAAGATACTTGCTATGACAGCTCCGCAAAAACACTTCAAGGGTTTAGGGTTTAGGGTTGAAAGCTGTCCGAGCTGCTTGCTACCACAGGGGTCTATGACGAAGACTGCCTGTCATGACCTGTAGAACAAACAAATCCAGAACATTCCAGAACTTGAACCCTATGACTGAGAAATGAAACGTCGGAAGCCTAAAACCCGAATCCATTTAGGGTTTAGGGTGTAAGGCTAGGCCACACCCTCCCAGTACGTAGCCTGCCAAGTTCCCCGACAATTTGAAGCTCCTGTCACAAAACCTCTCAGCATGTCCAACCTTTCAAGAGAACTTTAACCTCAAAGAAACCCAGTGTGTACGTGACAGCACACAGAATCCCCCTAAAACCCTTGCCCCTCAACCCTAGACCCTAAAACCATCCAAACCCTCAACCGGCACAATAAAAACCCGCATTATGTGCGCAATTCTCTAAATTTTGGCCCCTTTAAAGCGATCCGAACTTAGAGAACTACCCATGACGCAGTGCGCCCTAAACCCTAAACCCCAGACCCTACACCCTAAACCCATGACGCAGTGTGCCTGGCTCACAGCCGCCTCACAGTCTCCCCCGGCGCAGTCTGCGCCGGAAGCTCCCTAGACTCGGACACTTCCGGCAAGCTTAGGGGCTTGGGGCTTCAGGGCTTTAGGGCTAAGGGTGTAGGGTTTAGGGTCCAGGAAGGGTTTGAAGCTTGGGGTTTAGGGCTTTAGGGCTTTAGGGCTTAGGTTTTAGGTTTACAGTTTAGGGGTTTATGGCTCTATAGTTTAGCGTAATGGGGCTGCTGGCTCTAGCACTTCGGTCCCGGGACCTTGAACCTGAATCCCAAACGCACCCACTCAAAACCCTCCAACACACTACATGACAACTCATACTTGGAGGTTCATGGGACTTAATGAGTACAGTTATAAGTACCTTAATTGGGGTTATAAGTACTTATAAGTATACTTACCTTATTTATAACCCTAGTTACTAAGTCCCATGAACCTTGAAGTGTGCTTCCTGCCCACAGCCTTAGCAGCCTTTGGTTTCCGGGCTAGGGGTTCAACAATCCCGTTTAATCAGACGTCATCTTCTCATTGGGCGAGGCTAAAGTTTCGGGTCGAGTCTAGGGTGGTCCGAGCCGTTCAGGGGCTGGAAGTAAGAGTACTGTAATTAAACCACGAAACCCTGGGACCCCTGAACCTAAACCCTAAACCCCTAAACCCTGAACCCCTAAACCCTAGAATGAGTGCATGAAGTTGCAAAGCTCAAAGAGTACATGGCAGGAGGAACTTTCTAAGGCGAAATGGGGTTGGGGTTTAGGGCTTTGGGTTACCATCTGCGGACTTTGCTAGCATTACAGTTACCACTAAAATGCTTATCGTTATCACTGTTGGCAGCACTGTTACTATTGCTGCTTCGGAAGGATTCTAGCAGAGTCCTCGGCATGACTTCCCTAGGTCCTGAACCCCGCATCCCTCAGCCGAGCCGCGAGCAACGCGCAAAACAGACAAAGGCTTCGGAAAGCCATCAGCGGTATAGGAAGAAAGAGAAAGGTCTGAGAATTCATTGATCTTGAATGCTGCGGAAGGGCGGCGAGGGGTCTGAAACTCTCCCAAGACGTCGACAAAGAAAGACAGCTGCTCAGGGTATGGACTCTAATTAAATCTTAAGGCCTAAGCCCTCAAGCTATGAACCCGCAGGACCTGGGCATCGATAAAGGACTCCCGAGGCCCTTGCAGTAATAAAGAAATTTACCCGCAATACTGAGGTTTAGAGTTTGGGGAAGCCCTCAATAAAGAAACTTACCTTTAGATTACTCGTCGGTCTAAGGTGCATCCTTCATGAACACCCATATTGACTTTCATGCACAAAAACCTCTATGTGTAAATGTATGCTGCATTGTTTCAACATCTTCGAAGTCTCTAGGCGACACAGGGCTGATCCTGGAGCATACTGCGAAATACCTGCTTTGGCCTACATAACGTTAACGCTGACCATATGTTCCCATACTATGGCTATGCAGGGTTGGTAACCAACTATACACCTAAGTAGACAACCACAACCGGATTTCTAGGGAAATAGAGGGCGCCTTTCCGACAAGCTGCCATTTCGGCATCAGTCCCTCAGCTGTTCCCTAAACCACGTGCTGGGATAGAGAAGCCTAGGAAACCTGAACCCCAGACAAGCAGCCGGAAGTCCTGAAATGACGATTGCTGAAGACACTCCTCTGCATTCGCAATCTGCCAAGTAATCGTCTGTGGGGGTTTACGGCCAACCAGGGTTTTCAAATCCATACCCCCAGGGGTCCAAGAACCTAATAATCATACACTCTCCGAAATCCTAACCTACATAACTACTATCCTAAAACCGAGTACCTAATTATTGGGTCCTTTGGACCCTTGGGGTACTACAAAGCTACTCACCGAGTCACCGGATCCTTCAGGAAAACCCTGCTGAGAGATCCGACCTTGTCGGCTTCGAATGCATTGTCAGCCGCACGGTCTTCCGACCGGCGCTCACGATTCAAGCGCTGAAGGTATGATTGCCTAAAACCGTCGAACCGGGTTTGGGGTTTATTACAGCTGGCGAACTCTTGCTAGCGACCAATTTGTAATAGCGGCCTGAAGGAATCTATTAGGAATATGTTGTGGCCTTGGTAGCGTGCAGCTTGCATGTTGTCAGGCCGGAGCTAGCTAGCTGGAGTAGCGAGTTTCGAACTCACGCTTTAGGGTCTGGGGTTTTCTTCTGCTTTCGCTCGTCTTCCGAACTTTGGAGCTTCGTCTTTAGGGTTCAGGGTGTGGAGCTCAGCTTTTAGAACAGTTAGGGTTTAGGGTTTAGGGTTTGGGGTTTAGGGTAGTGGGGTTGAAAGGAAGTGTAAATAGCTGTGCCGTTGAAGGATGGCATCGGCTCAGAGCCCAATGGCATTCGGCACAGGCGAATCACGCAAGCTGTGCCCAGACCCCCGGGAGGATCCAAAAAGTAGATCCCTTAAAGGGGGTTCCTATAAAAAGCCCTTAGTAGTATAGGGTCCAAAATTAAGGGTTCTACTTTCTAGATCCTTCCGGGGGTCTGGGTATGCATGTGAGTTTCAGCTAAGCACCAGACCCGTGTTTAAGTCTACAGAGTACTTGGAGGTTCATGGGACTTCATACATACGGTAGTTTAAAAATACGTTAGTTGGGGGTTATACGTAATTATAAGTCTAGTTACCTTANNCTAAGTCCCATGAGCCCTTAAGTAGGACGAGCCCCGAGGCTCACTACACACATTCAGCAACTATTTTAATGCCTCACCAGGCAGTCAAACTGTCCCTACACTTCCGACTACTACTCTGCGCCTTTTGTGTCTGGCCCTAGATTTACTTCGCCCGAACTCCTGAAGCTTCGCCTCACCCCCCTCCCCCTTTCCAGAAACTTCTGTCCAGTCATAACTCAGCTGCATTCCCTTCCCGCCTTGGAAGCTTGCGCTGTGCGGTGAAACACCACAGCGCACAGCCGATGTGTTTAGGTTCTACGAGTAGGCTAGTTTCAGCCTACGGGCTCTTGGGTTATAGAGCTTTGGGTTCGGAGAGGTGGCGGGTCAAGGAAACCGTGGCTCCGGGTCTATGTCCACTGCCTGCAGAGGCTTGCCAGCTAGAGGAGAAAGCTGCGCAAAGTTTGAGAGACTGCTCACGGCGTACGCATGTGGGGGCGGGGGGGGGGGGGGGGGNNGAGGAAGGATTGGGGGTTTGCATGCAGGGGCTATAAGGGGACGCTGTTCTAATGACTTCGACCCCTACATTGCTCAATCCAGGATGATGGCTGATGGAGATGCTGGCGGTGACGATGACAAGGGCAAGATCTAGAGGCTCTTTCCTCCTTCCTTCCTTCCTCCCTTCCTTCCTTCCTTCCTTCCTTCCTTCCTGCAGTTCCTCTTTTTACGTATAAAGGTGTGAATAACGAGTTACTACTAGACCCCTTACACTCCTTACCAAATTATCGCGTTGGTCGTCGTCTTAGTATGTCTTAGTGACTTAGTCCTCTCATTTCGACGCATCCCACAGCACAGGCCTTAGTCGAGCCCTCAAGGCGTGGGGTTGCACCTCTTGCTTCTGGATCGGGATGCGTAAGATGCCTGGGTGCAACGGCTTCCATCTTCGAAGCTTGGAGGGGTTTAGGGTTTAGGTTTGGGGGTTTATAGGGTTGAGGTCTTATCCTTGGAAAAGGTCTGGAGAGTGCTTACGTGTTGTTTGGCATTGTAGTCTTATCCCGGCTCAATTTGGGCGCCTATGAACCCTAAAGTCTAAAGCCTCAACCGCAAACCTTAATTAAACCCTTAAGCCTTAAGCTCTAAAGCTAAACCATATAAACCCTAAACCCTAAACCGCGAACTGTAAGGACTCCTGAGCAGCGCCCGCAACGTAGAGAACAAAACAGGTACCGTCGACCTTGACAGCCTCTGAGGCGCCAGCCGTCCTCGTAGCACAGCTTCTGCGTCATTGCCTGGACTTGTCGCATTAGGGTCTGGGGTTGAGGGTTTACGGTTTGGCACAAGCAGCCTAACGGGCTAGTACCCCCAAAGTACCAAAATCCACATGTCTACACGGTGTCCATCATACATGATACTGGGGAGAGCGGTCACGGTGCAGCTACGACTGCAGGTCTAGAGTTGAACCGCTTCTCCATTTCCGTACTTACACAACACGACTCGCCTGCCTATGTCCCATGTCTTTTTTACACTCGGCGCTTCATCCCGCAAGTGCCGAACGACTACTGCGATCCGTACTTCGGAAAGTTTGATGCTTTTCGAGGAGAACTTTCAGATGCCGAGGCCAACTTGACCACAGCCCTAAACCTTAAACCCTAAACCCAACTGACCAAAGTCATGGGCGTTCTCCTCAGCCCTGCAGCTGCAAACTTGTCTGCCGGAGGGGAGGTGTGCCCACAATAACCAAAAATCTCTAGAAAATCTCAAGAAATTGTAACACCTCAAATCCAACTCCCAAAGTACGATCTAAACCTGAAGCCGCTACAGTAGACTCTGAAAGCATCACCTAAATCTCCAGCCCCAATTAGAATCCCTGATGCCCCAAACCCATCCTCCCCAGCGCTCGGAGGCCCAAGGCCCGGACGCTGCTACCCTCCAGACTGACTGGGTCCCGCTTCTCCTGGCAGGTAAGGGCTTAGGGTT